TTCACAGCTTGAACCAGACTAATAATCAAGATGACTGAGTTGAGGAGCATATGTAGTATTAACAGTACTTGCTTATCATACTTCAGGAATTTTGATTCACTCAGTATTACCTATACAACTAACTGAAGTAACATGGCCTAAGCAGATAATGATTTTAGAGTCGAGAATGAAGTGCTTCTTTTTCCGGATAATTTGATTGGCACGCTACTTCGTTATCTCCGTTCAAAGCACTTTTTAAGCCGACATTTTTAATGATTACAGTGTTCTCAAGAGATTACAGTTCACTGACTGGGTCTGGTCGCTCCCCTACCCCCCTCCATTAGCCTGCATCGTTACTATTATTACTTATACTCGCTCTTGTAGATAACTCTTAACCATTCTTCGGATTCTGTTGGTCTTCATACTACAGGGGTCCCGTGTAACTCGGAACCCACATACTAGCATGTGATGGCTATGTTCTGTGTCATTCCGTATCACACAGAGGAGTTTATTCGCATCTCGACAAGAACACTGCACAGCAGCCTAATTTCATAAATAGTGTGCAACGCAGGCAAATCCCAGGTGTCCATAAATTAGCGGACCATTTGAAGAGAATATAATTATATATTTGTGACGTTAAGGAAAACAACAGTCCTATTACATTTAATATTTTTTTCACGTGTAGTCATGGAAGTTAATACATAAGTTTTTTGAATATGTTATAAATAAAAAAATACAAGCCCTTAAAATCGCCTAATTTTATGTATACCGATATTTTTAGTTACGATGAAGTATAGTTTAATGGAGAGACTGTTTATCTTTAAAACCTATGTGAAGAAGAAATATGTACAATGCCGTGGCAATTTTGGTAACTCAGTTTCATCCAAAAAGATAACATATTGATTGGTGGACGCATTTCGAACGACATGTTCTTTGTTAGAGCAGAAATAAGAACACACGACTTGTGTATTCTGAAGAAACATTGAATGATAACGGTGCGCTGTTAGAAGCATCCCCACGAAGTCGTATTTGCCGGAACCAGAATATTGCTTTACCTGAAGCCATGGAAATTTACAGTTGTGAAAAACCTCAAGGGGGCAGACTGTTTTGCGAGAGAACAATTTTGTAACTGGTTCTGTGAATAAATACACTGGTCTGCAGAAAATTTATGTTAATATATGAATGATTTTAAATTTTGAATATGATTTGCTGCAAGTGCAAACGTTACAATCGGACACAGTAAATTCAGAAAGAGGCATTGCATAAATTCTCAAAAGATTTGACCTCAAGTATCTCTACCAGTTGAATCATGATCCGAGCCTGCTACGGTCAGAATGCAAAGGTGGGATGGTAACCACTAAACTCATCTGGGATTTGTGGTATACAACATGTGGCAGACTTTTTCCGGTTCACTCTTTCTCACAAAGCAATTACTTGCCAACTGCGGTTTCCCATTTATATCAAATTTCACCATGTTACTTGGTTTTATGTGCCTGGGGATTTTAGTCTGTGTACACATGGAATCAAATCTATGATTTCAGATATCCACATTTTCTGAGGTCACGGTTTTACTGCAATCTGAAACTAGTCTTATAGCTTCCAGATTATCAACACTAGTGTTTTTCAAGAACATAATACTCGCGATTGACAAGGAATTGATGTATATAACTGAAAATATTATCAAATAATCGGCCAAGCCAGTATGTCATAGTGACAGCGAATTCCTTCTTTTTCTTGTAACCATCTTACTTTCAGTAGAATTATTCTTTTCATTGAATCACTAACCTAAGACATGTGGGTTATCTGTCATGCAAACAAGAATGAACGAGTCTACATTAAAAGCCCATGAACATTTGAGGTACACTTCTTCATTTTTCCATATAACGCATGAAAATATATCAAGGGGTTAGGGGACTGTCGTTGCTTAAACCCAGAGGTGGAACCACAAGTTAAAAAAATTCCTAGTGAATTGACTTAATGTCGATAGGAATCTAGGTCAGTATTTTATCCAGATGTACAGTAGCAACAAGTCGTTCCAGCCTCTTATTTATCATATTGCAGAACATCACTCGTCTTATCGTCGCAATAAGATATTCTAATGAAGCGAAGAGCCGGGTACACACAAGTATAGCAGTGTTGATTCTTTGACTAAGAAGATCGTCTAAACATGTTTAAGATTTATGTTGCTCTTTCGAATAAAATACGACTCATAACCACCACAAAGATCAGTTGATTAATGCTGTTTAGGGAAGTAATCGTTTTACTCTGAGAATCACACGGGACCCATAAATACGCTTCATGGGCTAAATGCAGTTGTTAAATGTCAAAGCAGGTGGTACATACAGTTACCACTGGGCTTTAAATGGTTAAGACAGTCGGTCTCGGCCACACTGAAAATGTGTACAAATCTAGGAAGATTTCTTGTCGCGTGTAGTAGCATTCAAACCGTTGACCTGCATGCAAGGAAAATTCAAGACGTAGAGTTTGCTGGCCTCGGATGAGATTTCAGTTCGACACGCTAAACTTCTGGAACCGACGTCCGCGATCCGTCTCCTTTAACCTCCAGAGGTCGTCTGTCACGCCGCGCTGTTAAAATGTCAACACGTCTTTGCCTGGCAGTTCTTTATTTAGCAAAAAAGACTCCCCTAAGGCACAGAATTTTATTCTTTATGATTGTAACTTATCTGAAGAAAAAGTAACAATGCGGAGGGCAATGTAAGACGTCGACTTTCGGAAATGAGCCGCGTCGAATGTTGAAAGTTGTCAAACGTTTCGGCAAATAGTGCTGTTACCATCGTCAGGGTGAATATGAATTGCATCACCATCAGAAGGCTCACGAAGTGTCTGCACGTGTCACATCATAAAATTAATTCTGATCCGGCCGTCTACCCTCAAACTTCGGGCTGATAACCCTGACCTCCTCGATCATGCATTGTAATAACGCACACGAATCTGGGTGACGATGCGTGAATCACAACTGTTTTTGATGACTCGGCCAACCACGCAGTCTGTGGGGGGCATTCTCCGGAAATTCATCCCACCAGGACCACGACAATGCAGTGGGCGCATTAACCAGGGGAGGTATAACAAGAGGAACGCGTATTGTTTGTCCGTTTGTTAGATCTGTTATCATGCATGGAACGGAACCAATATATGAGTTAGATATATATCGTGTCGTTTTGACTATGTCAATTTGATAAAGGAAGAATTTTCTAAAGCGAACCTAACTGCTATCTGAAAGCAGTAACATGTCGTTATGTACCTACCATGAACAAGGATTTCCATCAGTAAGATATTTAATTACCACCACGCGATGAATGCATTAGACGGAATGACTCCTTCTTTTGTCTGACCGCCAGTGGTTTTTGTTTTCTTACATATTATGAATAACTAATAAATTAGATGCCGGTGGAGAAGTGACTGTGACAGTTGATAATTTTATATGAAACTATAACCCGTAGAAATATCTCACATTTGTTAATATTTTTGACACTTTGTCATTCAGTGGCTTTACGAGTAGCTGTTTATTTTCATCAATATTTTAATTATATATATATAGTCTTCTGGGTTGTTGCGCCGCGTAGTCTGGTAGTTTACCGACGTTTTAGAGGTACTTTGTGCTCCATCAATAGGATCATCAAATGAGATTCATTTGTTCGTGAGCAAATACATAATCTATTAAAGTTTATTTTACACCGATGACATAGATGACGTAAATGAAGGAACAGAGAATTAGAGACAGTAAAGGAAACTTATCTTTAACTAAATTAAAAATTAAGAGACTGTTCAGTGCAAATTTACTTTTTAGTTGGGACTAAGTTGAAACGGCCGTGATCTATTTTAAGGTAAGCCGTTATTGGCCCATAACTTACGTCAGTACGCTTGGCCTTGGGAGTTTTCTGTTGACATCAACTGTTTGAAAGATCTACTTTCAAGAATGAAATTGCAATTTCCAAGATAAATAATGTTGAGTGTCTGCACAACTTCCTCACGAGTCATAAATCGCTGACCTTGCTCGTGTTTCCAGATCTGAACTACAAAGTTCTCTTTTGCAATAACACTGTTCCTAAACATGACTTTTCATTATAAGCACACTGCTGGTAATATTCAAAACCAGAGAATATTCAAGAATGTAACAGCTTATCTTCAATGAACTGACCAATTTCTATAAATGTAGATGGAATATTTTGGAACTTTAAAGTTTCCATATATCAAGTAATTTTGCCAGTCATTAACGTAAATATTTGAAAAGCTAATAGGGCGAAAAAATATACGGTATTACATAGCCTCCTAATGGGGAAACCTTTGTATGTACTTTGAAACATTTACAAATGATGTAATTATTAACTCTCAGTATGTCATGTGTCATCACTAAACACATTTCACAGCTCTTCAATAAATCATACACATTCTGAAGATGTTTAAAAAATAGCGAATTATAAAATGAATTAATTATTGCAAGAAAATATTTACGAATTTTACGAATCTTCGTAGTTTCTGGAGGATCTTATTGTATTTGTTTAAGTTGTCTCGGCAATGGTAAAATATTTTGAAATTAACAACGAAATACAAATTGTTCACGTAGTTCCATATTTTCTGTCTTCAGACGTTTTTAAAAGAAATATCTCTTCAGTTTCTAACATTAGCCTCTGACTCAGTGTTTAATTCACAGCTGAGCGCCAAATAAAATTTATGTACGATTCAGTAGTGTGTTTTAAACCTTCAATACTAAACCTGCGTTTACTAATTTATTTATTAACGCTGTATCAAGTATAGAGATTATACAGTATCGTTTTCAGAACAGTGAACGACAGAAACAGCAATACTAAGTGCAACGCACCATTGTTAGAACTCTCGAGAGTTACGACTGTAACATTGATTTTCTATAACATCAAATGAGAGAAAAAACCAATAACATATAAAATAACGATAGCGCCATCATAGAAATTACAAGGCTGGTAACACTGCAATAGAAATAATTACAATTATGTAAACACTGATTTTATTGACTTTGGTTTTAGTTCTGATGCCTTGGGAGATAATGTCCAACCTTGAGGAAGACGTTTACACCGTAGAGGATCTAACCTTGCCTTGTTAGTGGCTTGTATCATTCTGAGATGACATGCAAGCATCTTCAGTTTATACTGTCGGAAATACAGACCACCTTCTTGGAGAACAATGATGCTTGTCCGTCTCCACCTAATAACTTCGGAATGAATAAAGGGATTTTCATTATTCCCGAAATGAAGCTCATTTAACTGCAAGACATAACCCTGCCGCCAGCAATACAAGAATGTTTAGTATTGAACACGAACTTCTGAGAGTACATAATGGAGATGCAGTTGTGAATGTAACCCCTTTTCTCATAAAATTTCAAAATTCTCACACTAACTTGGCTTCTGAGTATAGATTTTGTAAAGCTTTGTGACAATGGTTGATTTATTATAGGAATATTATTTTGTACAGTGTCCATTTTCTGAGGGATATTTGATATACACGACGTTTCGGTAGCTGGTTAGCCTGCAAGCGTGGCATTCGAAATGTACCGGATCTGATCCGAACAGTTCTCATTTATAATAACACATGAAAAGTGTGTCATTTCAGCCAATCACCTGAATATGCGAGTAGAGTCAAAGACTCAGACAGTGGACAATGCTCAACATAATTTTCCAATCTTTGCTTAGTGTAAAGTCGGTCCAGACAAAGGATTTTGTTCATATGGCGGTGAACATTATGGTTTCGTAATATCAGAAACTGAACCATAAATGATTTTTGTCGGAGACTTGCCGATAAACCAGTACAACTGAGAATAAGCCTTGATCCTGAGTCATCTCTATTTGGATATAAGAGTGTTATAATTAATTCTTGCATTGTGTAATGACGTTTTGTCGACTGTATAGACTTTGTAGCGCCGACTGTTAAAACGATCGTCAGTTATAAATTGTAGTAAGTATGGAAGGAAGCAGAAGTGGTCGTGTTATTTCAAAGTACTTGGTTCGAATTCAGCCGGAATTGTTTATATTGACAAGTTTATAGTTTCTGGTTTTTTCTTAGAGCCTCGAAAGGGTAGACCTTCTTCTTCTTTGGTCTCTCTAGAAACAACGTATTTGGTTTAAGGCGTCGGGAAATGCACAGTGTGCATTGCTGTTAAAAGACACTACGCGGTATTCATCAATCCACTTCAATACATATTAGTTATAACACTGATCATGCATGCAGTGCTATTAACAAGGACCACAATGTTTTATTACGCTGTTAATTATCGAGGGGAGTGTCATTCTGACTGAATCCGAGAGAGCCTTCGGAAACAAGACTTGTTTGCACTGTGTGTTTCTTCACTTTAGATCTTGCCGCTAAATTTGAATGTTCCTTCTGATTTTTTTGAATGAGTGTGATACGACCCAGTACATGTCTGCTGCTATGCAAGCCATATAGACGAACGTCAGTTTTGCAGATTTATGCCAAAAGTGCAGATTGATTCCAATCCCAAAATTATTTTTTACGTCATCAAAAAATATTCTCAAAATAAATTGTACAACGCATTCTTAATTACACAAAATATGTAGTGAATAAATGAGCTAACGATAGTATTATGTTTCATTTGTTTGATTACAAGTTTTTGAAATACTTGGATATCTTGTTCTTACTCAACAGATAGCTTGCCATCTTTACACAGCTCTTGGTCGAGAAACTCTGTAATGGGACATACCATCTGTCCTGAACTTGCTCCGTACTGTTCCTCAGCATTGACAGCCCCTCTGATGTTAAGAGGGGAGGATTCTTTATTTTTCTCTCCCCCATTCATGAGCAGCTTCTGTATGTTTATTCTTTTTGTGCTGTGTAATTCTGTTCACCGGCCCTTTCTCCAGAACCACCCGCATAAATGTAGAGAGCTATATTCAACGGCCAGTCATCATAATGGCGAGTCTCACCATGATAACATCTTTGGTCTCTTCAAAACCAAGAAAGCGTTAAAACATCTGCAGTCGAACTGCAAATGGTACCACATATGAAGCTGCTTTTTCGAAGGTTTGAGAAGTTAAGTTCAATTCTCCCTCGGGATCTTGTGTAATTTTCTGCCGTTTTGGATTCATCTACAAATTAACCTACGGTTCACATTTATAGCACATCCATAATTAGTAACTACTGAAGTTCTGCGTTTGATACGGGAGATTCATGAGGTATTGCACAAAAGTCAGAGAACCGTTCCAGTCCCTGGACTTACCCCAGAAAGAGCTGAAATCGTGTGGCCTTTCGTGTCACAAGGTTAACAATCCGACAGCCATCGACGAGTGGTAAAGACGGTTTGAACCATAACCCAAGAGATCGGGGATACTAATCAACGATAAAAAGAATGTGATTGAATTGTAAATAAAATACCCATTTTCAATATTATAAATGGAAAGTATTATTCTCTGTAACGAATCAACTAGCTTGATAAATCTTCTTGCACATATACATAGGTACGCTCTGCACAGCTTGTGTGAGGTTAATTGAAATCTGTGGAGTCGTTGACTTTTATCGTAAAAAATACACTAAAGACGCTAAACGCCGGAATCAACTGTGTCATGCCGCGTTTGCACAGGAATTAAAACAGGTTGGCAACCTTCATTTATCATTACAATGAACGTGTTTATATTCCTGTTGCCCACACTGTTCTAGGCCCTCGATGATGTAGCATTTCTTGTTACTCTGAGTGCGGACTCCGTATATTCTATGACTCTGGATGTGTCTCAAGAGACAAGCTTTTCATCAAACCACACGCACTGGCGGTCAGGACTCTTTGGATGCATCCACTGAATTGCTAAGGTTATGTAGAATTATGGATTCAAATTAAACAAAATAAACTATACTAAATCGGATGGACTAACTTATATTTAGGGATTTTCGCCATGAATCAGTCACCAAAGTCGAATCTGAGACAGGGTGTCTTGCGTGAAGATCTGATTGGCGCACCTTACGGCCTAGGTTCGAATCTGACAAGGTTATTGGGTTTCTTTTCAGCTCATCCATGTTTATACCGGCTGTGACGAGCCACCATTTGACTGTGTATGGTTCATACAGACCGCGTTTATGCGGATAATATGACAGCTAAAACGGATAGTTTCCACCGATACTTTTTACACGTTTGTCCGGATAAATCAAAATGTCCGCCTATAGGAAATATATGAATGTTTTAAAAACAAACGCTGTGCTTAAAACGCGTTGGGGGAAGACTATGAATACTATATTAGACCCACTTTTTATGAAGTGTGAAATAAATCATTATTCGTTTGGGCATTAACATCATAATGCTGTTACATAATTACTTTATAGCATAGATTTGAGATTTACTATCCGCATCCTACCGCATTCCAGTAGAATTAATAAAGCAGACATCGAACTCGGTGATTAGAGCAACCGGCAGTGACCTTGACCGCTCTCATGTCCTGACAAGCTTTCATGATTTTATAAAGACTCTCTCTCTTAATACCAGAGAAGGGCCATCTTCTTGGAGTTTCATCTGTTGAGGTGTTATGTAATATATATGGGGTCCGCGGTGGCCGCGCGGTCTGAGGCGTGGGCCTTGTGACCGTGGGTTCGAATCCCACTCAAGCCATGGATGTTTGTCCGCGTTTTTCTGTGTTGTGCTGTCCTGTGTACAGGTAGAGAGAGGCCTTACGACGGGCCGATCCCTCGTCCATAGATCAAGCCAACTAAAAGTTGGGACCCGCAGTGCTCAGGGGAGTGTTTCATGCACAGAAACAACGAAAGTTTATGTGTAAACACGTGTCCTTTGACGCCTCGCCTTTAAGATACGACCCATTTTATTTTGGAAGGAAAAATAATTGTAAACCCGTTCACAGGAAAGTGTTTATTTACAAAACGGTGATTTCAACGTTATAGATTACTGTTGTGATAACAATAAATTACAAAAACTGTCGACTTTGTGTTTCCACACAGCTCGCTGCGTGTCACATTAAGGTTTGCCGCACGCGCTCAGTAATATCAGGCGAGTTACAAATTAAACGCGCATTCGTCTTCTAATGTCTGTCACAATTGTGCTGTATCATTAACTGCCGAAGCATACACAGTACTTTTAAGATGGCCACATGAACACCGCTAGACTCGTCTCTTAGCAAATAAGCCACAGTTCGAAAACGAAGTGTCCCAAGACAAGTGTTTACCGAGATGTTAGTTGTTTCTGCGCATAGAACACGTCCGTGAATCGTTCCGTATATTTCAGAAACACTCTGTCTTGAATATGTTATTGTAATATATATGTATATAAAACCTATCTATAAATTAATTATCATATTAACACTAACATTTTGTTTTCACGAAATTAGTTCAGTAGCCCCCGTTACACTTACGCAGAAATTGATATCATTTTTGGAAACATTCTTCTGTAATGTTTCATGTCACAAATATTTTATCAAAAACGAAATAGTGACATAAGAAAGGGAATTGTGGGCGTACCGCAGAGAGAACTGCAGGATGTTAGGCCTACTCGCTGTCAAAGACCGCGGAGAACTCTGTCGTCACGCCACTGATCCACCTTTACTTCCACCCGATGACATAAAACTCCCTCTTGAAGGTGTGAGCATCCATCCTCATCCACAGACCCTATTCTAAACGAACAAGGTATTGTTTGCCTCTTAAAAAAAAGACGAGCTTTCCTTGTAAAGAATAATAATTGATGGGAGAACCCAAAATGAATCACTTGGTGGTATTCTTTCATTTCTTTTGTCCCTCCTTTGTTCCAGAATATGGCTCGTTTTCTTTCTTATGAACACTCTATAACTGAATTCGTTAAGGAGCGACTGCAGAGTTATACAATACACAGATGACTCTTGAACTAGCACACACGAATATTCTCTTGTTCAGCTTACGTGAGCATTATTCTTTGTCTTGGTGGGTGGCTGTAGCTTACACGTGAGGAGGTGCCTAGTTTGGGGAAAACTGTCAGCTGAAGTATTTTCTTTCACGACTCGTAACATAAATACTGCGTTATTAGAACGAGTGTAAGAATCCTTTGAAGGCGTAGTTCGTGTCATTGATATTTAAAAATTTAGTTCTTACCACAAAAAAGACACAACCCATCTCCATTACAAAAATCAGTTGGTAAATAATCGCTGGTTGTTCTAAGAATCATATGAAACGATAAGTACACTCTGTGGTCAACATTCAGTTATTGAATGTTGAAGCTTGTGGTGTATATTGTTACCAATATGCTTTAAAGGGTTAAAACGTCGGACTGTAAATGGGAGGATAATATTAAAATAAATATTTAAGGAATAAAACATGAGGGCGTGGGTTTGATTCTTCTGGTTTACGACAGGGACTGGTGGCGGGCTCTTGTGAACATGGAAATGAATCTTCGGGTCCCATAAAAGTCGGGGGAATTTCTGACTAGCTCAGAAACTATTAGCTTCTCTTCTCCATAGAGTTGGCTAAACTAAATCATAGTTGTTATGTTCTTGACAAAATTTCGAATGTAAATTGAAGAGAAACCAATTTAGATCTGAGAAATTAAATAACCCTATTCTGATGATCATAATAAAAATGCCTCATTTTGAGGGCACTAAAATTCGAACAAGTGATGTCTCAAATACGTCAAATAGGCCTCTCTGTCCAGATGAAATTAATAGCTTTTGTACATTAAAGCTTCAATGGGTGGGCTGGGAATATTCATAATCCAAGTAACCTCAGAACTATTATTCTAAAGTTCAATGTATGCGATGCTTTCAGAAACAGCAGGTAACAAAATCCGCTGTGTAACTACCACGTACGACATTAACATATCCAAGAATGGGAACTGCGACATCCATGTCCCGAGTGACCTGACACAGTGGTAATGTATTCAGGAGATACTCTGTTCGAATATGGACTGGAGTAACGATTAACATTACAGACATTGAAGGCGAATATTGTGGATGTTATCTGAATCTACCACGACAACTTTCTCCCCCCCCCCCCCCCCCAACATATTTATATCATGTGGTAGACACACATCCTTTCATGACATTCCACGATGGATGCCTTTTGCGGTTAGAAAGTTACGAACCAACATTCTCGTACGTCTGTGATACTTTAAAATCATGTGATATGAGACAGAAATGGACAAGGCCTTCCATGATTTATTTAACTGCAAATTTATGAGATTAAAATAGCTGATTTAATTAAACGTTTTACGAATGGGCCATTATTTGTCTGGAGAGTATGAGGAATACCACGACAAAACTCGAACAGGAAAGACGATAATCTAGTCGAGATATAAGCTTGGTGCTTCCCATATGTTCAAGTTAAAGGGTCATGGTTAAGATATTTAAGTACGATACCTTAAATAGGCGATGAAAGTTTCATTCAGTGAACCTTCAAATTAATTATTAATAATTATTTAATTCTACCTAGCCCTGTGGAGTTGAAAATGCGCACGTTAAGTAAACAATATTTAATCATATTACATTCAGTAGGTCTCTGAAAAAATAATAAACTGCGTAAAAGAAACAACTCAGACGTTCCATTAGAATATGTATTAAAAGCTAGTAGATTCTGAATGAGCGTTGGTCCACAAATTTCAGCATCGGTGGACAAGAAACCTTCC